GGCATGTGACTTAATAAATTTATCCTTTGACTTCCACTGCTTCCCCTGCTGTCACAAAACAACTTTTGATCTTACGCAGTTACACAGCAAACCTGGGACAAGGAGGAAAAATGGTGGGTTGGGGTTTTTTTCAATGTGATACAGAGTCAAAATCTTCACAACAGGAGGAAGAGCATCCCCTGAGTTGGACTATTAGAGGTAGTTCATTATCTCTGGCTGAAGAAATGCAAAGCAAAGGCAGCCGTCATGCTCTGGGGAACACAGCTGGTATCTGAGAGTAAATTATTGTCAGTATTTGGTAGTAATTTTGAAACCTTAGCTCTAATACCTGTATGTTTTGCATATTGGCAAATGATAAGCAACGGTGCAGAGTAATACCTTGCCATTGTAACTGGCTGCGTGCATTTTATGAGGCTCAGATTATGCTTAATCTCATTATTGAGGTGCTTAAATTAAAGACAGATTTGTATAATCGCAGTCAGCGGAAAGAGACTGGCAGATACAGAGGGCAATTCAGATCTGAGTTGCTTGAACATCCTTCTGCAAGTTGGGAAAGGTAAACTTGAAGCATCTTCTCCCAGCCATGACTCAAAATGCTGTAACTTAAACCACTGAAGGCCAAAGCCTTCTGCTTTGGGATTTTCTGTGTTCGGGGGATCCAGGGATTTAATGGAACCTGTTAATAATAGAAACCTGACAGTCAAAACCCCAGGGAATCCAATCAAATCATATATATCCTGGATATATGTTTCCCTTCAAGAATGAGGCCGATGCTCAGGCCCTGAAGACAGGTCCAGTGTGTGCTGGAGGGGTAGAGCAGGAGCTGTCAAGGTGGTGGCAGCTGAAGCTGTAACCATTTGGGAGGAAAGTGCTGCATGTGTGAAGCTCTGAGCACAGCAATGTCCTTCTTCAGGTTGGTGCTAGTGTCTGCTTGCCCCTTGTGCTCTGTCAGCCTTTGCATTCCCACAAACAGCTTTTTCACTGCCTTCCCAAGTTCACCACACTCAGAGTCTTGGGTGTCAGCGATTCACCAGAGTCCTACTGCATTTGCGGTTAATGGTTTCTTCTGTGTGCATCCCCAGATGAATAAATGTGGGACACAAGCTCCGGTGTGGCTGTCTCTGAAGTCTGAATCCCTGCCAGTTCCTGGTGAGAGCAAGAGGCTGACAGCCTGTGCCACCTGGCAGGTCTTCTTCGGGGGCACCAGGGACTGCTGCTTGTTTCGGATACCCATTGCCGTCAGGAACTGTGGAGAGTTCTTTGTGTATCTCCTGCAGCCTACTCAAGGATGCATGGGCTACTGTGCTGAAGGTGAGGGTCAGTCAAGTATTTATCAAAAAGCCTTGTATATGCCTCCCTGGCTGCATGTTCAAGGGGCACTGCAGTACTGGGACCATCTCGGTGACCTTGTGAGTCAAGCGTTTCTTCCAGTGAGATACAGACCGTGTAGAAAATAAATCAGTGGCACTCCAAGGTGCTCCTGAGGAATAGCTATTATTCCAGTGCAAAATGTAATCTGGACTGTATTACTGAGGTGTTCTTCGCTTGGTTACAGTTCACATGTAACCTTTCCAACTGTCTTTGGCTCCACTTTGGCTTGAAGTTGTACAGCGAGTGAGAGGAGGCATCTCAGCTTTCTTGAGGCACTGTATCCAGGATACTGTGTCTGAGGTCTGTTCTTATCTTCAATAATCCACTATCCTCCCTCAAAAAATAAATAATTCTGAAACACTAAAAAGGAAAAAAAACCCACAAAACAACAACCCCAAACTGATAAGATCTTTTTCACGACATTTATATAATTACTCTCGTCAGAAATAATTCTCAACCCACTAGAAGAGATCTAAGCTCTGCTCGGTAGCTAGGAAACAAAGCAATAGCAGAAAGGAATTGCTCCCTCAGTTAAACCTTCTGAACTTCTGAGCATGTTCAGGTGCATATAGATTTGATCAGAAAAGACAGTTCTCTCTCAAAAGGAAAAAAATTACCTTTGCACTTCCTTTTCAGCATTTTTGGACAGACACATGGCACACTGAGAAGCCAGGGTCATCACCTTTCAGTCAGGCAAAATTCAAGCTTAAACAAATTTTAAAGAGAGAAATACCTGTTTTCTTATCTTTATCAATATTTTAACACATCCACATGAAGAAAAGGGAGGTAAAAAAATCTCAAAGAAAATGAGATTCATTCCCTATTTGAAATAAAAAATATCCATTAAAATAAATGAAGCTGCTCTTTCATTTCCACAATTCTCTCTCAGAAATTACTTCTTAAGCTGAATACAGTAATTTTCCAGTTTCAACTCAGCTTTTGAAACTAAAATATTCCCACTCCCCTTGGTTTTTTACCAATACCCTTTGGGTGATTAGTTTTGTCATTTCTGTTGATCCACAGCTGTTCAGTGATGTAAATCTGCCATCATTTTTCATAAATGAAAGTTTATTCCTTCCCATCCATTCCAAACCAATTCTGCCTTTTTCTTACCAATGCTGTCCTTCTGTCTGGGTGTTTCAGTGAGTTCCACCTCTCCTGAGTCTTTAACTTCTTTCTTTAGATGTTTTTACAGTATCACGTATGGAATGGAAAATACCCAAAGCTGAAACCTTTTTGTTGGGAGTTGTTAACTCACTGTCTTAAATTCAGCTGTGACCGTTGCACCACAGGAGCCTCTACACCCCCAGAGCCAGGTCCAGCTGGCACCACCACAGCTTCTTGTTGGGGTCAATCTCCCAGCCCCCTCCACTGGAAGCTGGGGAACAGGGCACTGGTCAGCACTTCTTAGCTGCAAAACAAAATGTATTTAAATCTTCATAGCTTGGCAGAAAGGCTATGGTTGGGAAAAATGGAGTAGGTGCTTGCAATTCTGCTCACATCCTCCCATGAGCTGATCACCTAACTTTGTCCTTGTGGAATAATTTCCTGCAGAAAGTCATGATGTGAGTCATGGTTTGAGGCAGCTTGCCCTAGGAACAAAAGAGAAAAGAATATAAACTACTGGCCCATATTAATATTTTAAGCAACTTGTTTCTTTTTCTTACCTCTTGTTATTTCCCCTAGACAGATGTTAACGTATTATTTTCTGCTCCAAAAAAGTTACTTCATTTATCCTTTCAAAGCATCTGAACCCGCTTCATGTTACATTTGAGCCCAGGTCTCCTGAGATGAAAGAACATCACCCTACAGTATTACACACCTTTTTGTGTCTGCTTCCTAGAAAGTGAAGTTTAAGAAGAAGGAAAGTTTCAGACCTCGTTACATGTTGAAGCTTATAGAAAGCAGGCTGTATTTTTAGAGCATTGGCATTATTCTGGGGAGAGGGAGAATATATACAGCAGACTCAACCTACATATGGCCAGAAAAGACTGGAAGGGATCTTCCCAGCATGAGAATACGGGCTGGGTGCACTCTGAGAGTCTATTTACCTCTGCAAAGTGATGATTTCTTGCATCTCTTCTGTACTTATTGCAAAACTTGGATCAAAAGGCTGTGCTTTGGGGGAATGCAAAGCTGATGGCCTCTGCCAGAGTAATTAATTTGTATTAATCTGAGTGCTTCATTTTGATAACATTTCTCTTACTGCAAAATAATAATTAAATAAAAAAAAAAATACCCCAACAAAAAAACCCCAACAAAAAAACAGGTCAAATATTAAAAGTAGTCAGTACAAAATCAGCAAGTTTTGCATTTCATATTAAATACATTTTCTTGTTTGCATAGTTAATAATCCAATCACAAGAATATAAAATGTTTTTTCAATATAAACAATAACATTGTTTAGTTATATCGAAACCTTCATGTTGTGCAAGCCATGTAATATTAAAATAGCACTTTGTGATACATCCTTCTTGTGTTTTCCTCTTCCAGACAAACTTACAAGTCTGGCTTTGCAACCAGTGATAACTCCCGAGCTTGTGCAAGGTCGTGTCCACCTGAAGTGCGCCTACAGCCTCCCCTCCATGAAGCCAGCACTGCAGTTTGCTGTGGTCTGGTCACGCCTGTCCACCCCTGGCCAGAGAGAGCAGATCCAGCAGGACATGACCCTGCAGCCATTTTCCTACGTTGAGATGAACGGTGTAGATCTCAAACTGGGAGACACGGTAATGCTGCCCTGCCTTCTGCCAAAAATGGTCCAACACTCGGGGGGATTAAATCCTTTCCTTCAGTCTTTGTTGTGTTTTTAGTGGTGCTGCTCCTCGCTCGTTATACTCACAACTGCTGCAGTAAAAACGTACTGAAACTGTTTTGCAACAGGATTATTAAACGACATTTTCCAGATTCAGGATCTGTAGCATTTCTTTGAACAGCAGTGAGTTCACAGAAACTATCCATTTTCCTGTTTTCTAAGGGCAACCTGAATATTTGCACTTACATTACAGCTTGAATGCCATGAAGTTGGGAGGAGTAGTAGGTACATGAGCCTGAGCTCATTTTTCCTTAGTACTTTTTGTATCTTGCAGCAGCGAGAATTTGCAGTAGAGGCAGGCTCAGCTATAGGCACTTGGTGATTTTTATACTCATGGACCAGAGACACAATCGCATCTTTTCACTAGAAAAGAAAACAGCACATTTTAAAATAGAGGGAGGTTTATTTTATGGTCTTTTTCATGGTGTTCTGCCTCTCTGATTCCAAATTCTTGGTTCAATAACATACTGAAAGATAGAGTTCATTACAAAGCAATCTTTAAGAAGTATACTTGATGGCATACATAGCAACACAGTTCTAGCTCCAGTTCCAACAACAACAACAAAACAGAAGCCAACACAAGATGTGAAAAAAAGAATTGACTTGTGTACCAATTCATGGCCTTTCATGGTACAGAAACAAGAATTTTAAAGTTAAATTAGGTTCATAATTTTTATCGCCAGAGAGCCATTAGTGATGCTGCAACAAACTGAAAGAATAAACAGGGATAATGGCCTGGTGTTAAAAGTAGGTTGGAAAGAGTCTTGGCATTTTGCAGCTCTTCTTTGAGATATTTAAGATACATAGGAAATGTGAAGAAGTTTTTTCCAGTTCTTGAAAGGATGAGTCATTTAGAACAGCAGCACAACTGAGATAGTTCTGTCTCATTTCTCCTTATATTTATGCTTCCTGAGTTCAGAATCTGACTGATGTTGCTCTCACTTCTACTGTAACATGAGGCAGACAATTCTGCCAGTTTTAAGAAGTTTGTGCTACAAAGAGATATTTTCATAAAAATATTTTCACTTGAAATTTAGTTTTAACAATCCTGAGGGATTCAGAGAAAATGTAGTTCAGTTTACCAGTAGCATCACCAAATCTTTACAAGACCATTTTAATTATATTAAGTTTAGAGTAAGTCCTTTGTCCTCTGCTGAAACTAGGTGTTTAATTTAGTGGGTATAGTGAAACTAAAATGTTCTCTTCTAGATTTTTTTTTTAAGGTCTTCATGGCCTATTTGCTTAATTATAATTATCTGTAAATCATCACTGGTGAAAACCAAGTAATGAAGTCTCAGCTGTAACTGGAACTTCAGTTTTACATAATAAAGGTTTCAAAAATCATTTCACTGTGTTTGCCATCCCACTCAGGGTGTCTAGTAAGAGTCATAAAGGGGCAGACTCCCCTCTCCACAGAATTACAGAATCTTAGGGGTTGGAAGGGATCTCAAAAGATCATTGAGTCCACCCCCCCTGCCAGAGCAGGGTCACCCAGAGCACATCACACAGGAACGTGTCCAGGCGGGTTTGAATGTCTCTAGCGAAGGAGATCCCACTAACGGTGTAAATCTGAAGCAATTTACTAAGTTTTTTAGGACTACCTCAAAGGAAAGGTGTTGTCACTAAAGGAGGAGTCAGACCTTGAGGACCCAACTCCACTGCAGAGAGGCAGTTTGCATCTTTCACCACCCAGGAAAGATGTAGGTGGGAGAATTATTTCTTAGGCAGCTTTAAAGGGAGGCCAGATCCCCACTGATAAAAGCCGTATTGGAGAGGAGCCCAGCAAACAAGAGTCCTCACCAGCTCTTTCCCCTTCTCCATGCACAGCCCACCAGTAGCTGCCCCACGGCTGTGTGCTGCCAGGGTACGTGGGTGACATTCAGGGCAGAATTTGTCCCCTAGGATGCAGAATTTGCAGCATTTTGAAAACTGATTCCTTTTGTTTAACCTACTCTTTGCCTACCTGCACTTAGCCTGACTTCGGCCCCAGTGCTCTCATAGCCTGAAATCAGCACCTTCTCTGTTTATTTCTTGATTAAAAAAACTACAGCCAAGTGAAAAGATACTTTTTTTTTTTTTTTTAATCACCTTGTAGGTGATTGATATCTGTGCTATTTTTTACCTGTCAGAAAGTCTCCAGGTAATAGGTTAGTCACATAATAGAATATCTATTGATACATTTCACTATGCAGTCAACCCTTAGAGAGGAGTCGAGATTTACTGGCCAACATTTCTGAACTTGTATTGACTAAACAGCCAGTTATTTTTTAATAGCCATCATGTGTGCTTTTCTACCCCATCTTTGGGCTCCAATTTTGTTATTTCAGACAGTAATGTTGCCAGCAAAATGTTCAGAAAACTATTGCAGCCTGAAATAAATCTATAACATGCCACTATTTCTATACAAACGTTGAAAGAAGCCTACTCCATCTGATACGAAAATCCTGGCATTCCTAAGCCTTATTTATGTGGTAGTGACAGAGGTCACTTCATTCCTCGAGGCACAGCCATCTATAAATTATAGCAGCACACTGTGAGTAATGAGTTATGCTAAGAAAGAAGGGTGTTTAGAAGAAAACTGTGCAGATTTTGCTCAGCACAGCAATCCAGAAGTTCATACAGCAAAGAGCAATTGTCACCAAACATAAACTGTGATGCAGATTGTAAAATAAAAGTGTTTCAGTAACACCAGCCTTTCTGAGCTGTGTGCTAGAAGTGGCTGCTTTGCATGGTAGTCTGCAACAGCAGACAAATATGCCCCAGCCAAAAAAAAAAAATATTTAGTGCCTCAATATATAAACTAATTTTCACTCACTAGGGAAGAGGAGTTAAGTTTCCCCTTGCTTAAATATTAATCCCATCCCAAGCACTGGACTTGACAAAGTCAACAATAGGAATAGGAGGACCTGCTTGTTTGCAGGTCACATCCAAGTTTGCAATTTCTTTCTCAACCTTCAGGTAGAAAATGAGGAGCATCCCCACTGAAACTGAGTTCTGGGTGGACTCAGAGATGTTAAAGCAGAAAAAGGATGAGCAAATTGGGAAAATTTCTTTCCTTCCTAGATGAATGACCCACAGGCAGCCTCCACAGACTGTCTGGCCGCTTGGCAACTGGGAAGAGCTGCTGCCTGTGTATGTAACAAGCAGCAGGGTGACTGGAGCTGGACTTCCCACAGCGTCAGGTCATGCTGCTGCAGCAGCTCCCTCCCTTCTGCAGCTCAGCACGGGGAGCAATCGGTGGTCAAAAGCTCTAAGCTCTAGCTTATTAATTAACACCAAGTCAGATTCTCTCTACCTTCCCCCTCCTGCTAACCCTTCTGGAAAGCCCTTCCAGATGCTTTGTTCCTACCCCTCTCTGCAAACACCTACAGCCAGATCATTTCTTTGAGCTAATGAGAACTATGGCATTTTTTCCCCTCTAGCTTCCCTAGAAATGCCATCTTTCAGCTCTGCTCTTTTCATCAAGGCTGTAAACCACAGCTCCCTCCTGCACTCCCCAGCTCCCAGCAGAGGGACTCCTGGAGGCTTTTTCTAACCCTGGCCCATTAGTGTTTAATAGAGGAGACAAAAGAAGCTGGTAGGCCTTGAAAGCCCTCTCCAGACACTCCTAAAAAACACTCTTTCACCTGGCAGGATCAATTCCATGCCCAGTTCTTCACATGAGAGCTATGAGGGAGCCTAAGTGACTCTTACCCTTGCAGCCTCAGCCTGCCAGTTGACATGGGTGAGGTAGTGGGAGGGTGGATCCAATCCTGGAGTTAACAGAGTTAATCATTCACATCTGAGGCACCTGCAGACTTCCCTGCCCAGTGAATGGGAAGTAGCAGGTATCCCTAAAGAGAACCTTATGGTGAGACGGGAGCTTCCCACAGGTGGCCAACATAAATTCCTGATCCAAGCAGCAGCCCTGAATGCCCACACCTCTCAGGAGATTGGGCGTGCAGAGTCAGGAAAGTGCCTTCATCTACTTTTTAATCCAGACCATCAACTCCTACTCAGAGGTACCTGGCTGTGTGTAAACTTTGGAAGATCACTACCAGTAAAAGTAAACAGTCAGCGTTGTCCCCGTGGGGCCTCTGGCACTACAACACAGCCCAGGCCCTTGCTGGAGAGACAGGAGATGGGTCGCTAGTACTTCCAGCTGAGGGTTAGATGCATGTCCTGCTCTTTCAAAGGGAGCATCCCACCCCAAGGCATACGCTGCACTGGGAAAGGAAGCAGAGACCACAGCTGGGGACCAGCACAGGCATTTACTTATTTTCCTGCTCAGTGACTGCTCAGGTAAAACGTGAGCAGTCCTGATGGGCAGACCCAAACCCAGTACTCCCAGCTACCAGTTCTCCCTATTTTGAGGAAAAGTGGCTTTGTTCCTGGGACACTGCTGAGATGGGTGGTGGCCCCATTCCTGCCAGTGCCTTGAGAAGCATACATGGAGGTTGACCTCTGCCAAAGCCCCAAAATTGCCTGGCAAACCTAGGAGGTACCTGACTGAGGAACAGGGATGGGTTTTGATGACAAGCATCTCCTGTTTTTCTTTTGGGAACCCAGCCCCTCATCTGAGCATGTCTGGGAGAGGCTGATGGAACTGGAAGCACAGTAATGCTGGAAGTGCTGGCCAGCATCCCCCTCTGTGCCCCCCCTTGGCACGTGCCTCCTTTGAAGATGGCAACAAAAAGGGATATGACTTTTTTTGAGCTTTTCTGTTTGCTCTCAGCCCCGAGTCTCTCACCACATGCTCAAGCTGCCACAGATGATCCCTGTGCTATGTTCAGAAGTAATTAGGAGCATGGAAAAAAGTGAAAGTGGAAGCATTTTTATGCTCAAAGGGAGTATAAACAACTGATTTGGGGAAGCTTTTGATTCGGAGATCTCTGAAAAAAACACACCACATTTTGATGTGTAAGTTATTAGAGAGAAGTTTCATGGAGGTGGGAAAAGGTCCTAGGATTAAAATACTCTCCCGAATTGTTTCTCAGAGCTACCTGACCCCCATCAAATTAATGAGCAAATTCTGCTTTTAGCTAAACATGCTGCTCAGGTACAGGGTTCATGGCAAAGTGGGAAGGAATCTGACTGTTTCCACAGAAGGATGGAAATCTGCTGCAACACAGAGGAAAATTCTTGGCTACCAGGACCTTTTTCAAGCAGAATTTTGTGCCTAAAATTTGTTTTCCACCCTATGGGAAGATTTGCTGGTGCATGGGGGAAAGAAGCCAAGCCCAGAAACAATCCAACCATCCTGTCTGAGAGCACCCTTACCTATCTGTACCTTTAAAAGGCATGATGAAAAAATATAATTTGATTTTTCTAACAGATCTGATGAGTTTGTGGAAAAATACTGCCTAACCTGTCACAGCCATCAGCATACTGCTGTCAGTGGTGCTTTTATCTCTTTCCTTTAGAAAGGCTGCATCCTGAGATGGGGAGAGGGGGGAAGAAGAGAGAGAAAAAGTTGATTACTGAACTGGAGGAAAAAAAGCTCGTATTTAGCTGAAGGCAAAAAAAAAAAAAAAAACCCTCCTTGGAGTGACTATCTTAATAATTATGTGACAAACTGTCAACCTGTAGCTCAGTAGCCGATGAACATATCTGCTGATTGTGAAGTGAAGTGTGCACCTAACAAGGTAAAGGCACTACAAGGGGAGGAATGATAGAAAAGACAGAAATAAAATGTAACTCATGACGACTGTACATTTCAAATCTGCAAATTTTGTGCCAGTCTCCAGAAGTGCTGGAGATAGAACAGGAATGGACTGGTAGTCTAAGAATATCTCTCTGCATCCTTACAGAATAATTTTCTCTCTTAGTGTTCAGTGCTGTACCAATAAACTATACCTCTATAATATGTATGTGAGAAAATACAGTGTTCACAGGGCATGAGTTGGGTTTTGATGTTTCCTAGAATGTCATTTTAAGGAAGACCACTAGGAGATGCCTCTGTTGGTGCCAGGCAACAATATCCTCATGTATGACCCTGCTGCCTCTCATGGCAGCTCCCTCCTTGGCTGGAACCCTGCACGTGGGGGGCTCAGGAGGAGGTCTCTGTGTGAACGTTTTTGGTAAAAAAGCATTAAAGCCAGAAGAGTGAACAGCCCAGAGAGTGTAAATACAGAATCTGCAATGCAGCTGCACTAGATTTGCTCAAGGAGCTCTGCAAGAGGATCAGTATTACTCTTTTTTTTTAATAGGGAGAATATATGTTATCTGAACCCTTTCTCTGCTGTCACTGCCTTGTCAGACCCCGATTTTGCAGACTCTCCCTGTGGCAGCTGTAGGAGAAGCAGCAGGAGGAAGATCAACATTCACTTTCTGCCTTCCCAGCACAGGAAGTTTCTTGAAAACTTTGTAAGCTGAACGCAAACTGCTAAGGAATGCTTGGAGATAATAAATATCTAATGATAAGAGGGGCTTATGACCCTTGAGGAGACAACTTGTTCTGCTTTGGAGGCAAATTGGCTAACTGCAAAGTACCAGAGAAATTTTAACTTTAAAATCTCTCTGTGTCTTTCCTTCCTCCAGTAGACCCAGTATGACCTCAGGGTTTTCATTTACGTACAAGTAACACCATTTTCACTGGGCCAAAGTGGCTGGAGCTGTCAGCAAAGGAGAGAAAAATTTTAAGAAGATAAACATGACTTAAAAAGGCCTGGGAATGAGCTGGAGAGGAAATAATCCACCTGAAGAGTACAGAAAGCACTTGATTTTTCCCATAGCAGTACAAATGATGCTGTGCTGCCAGTGGGCACTCTCCCTGTGTGCAAATGATTTAGGAAAGAGGATTCTTCAGTCTGGAGAGAAATCGTCACTTGATGGTTATGTAGAAGAGTAAAAGAAGGTAGTAAAAGAAATATTCCAAAGTGCTATGTCACTCATGCCCCCATAATCATATGATCTAGGAATGCCCTGGGTTTGTGACTCTTTTGGTGCCCCTGGCTATGGAGGTTGTGCCTGAGAGGGCAAGTGAGAGGTCCCAAGAGCAGAATGGTTGGGGGGTGATGCTGGAAAATCCATTCAAAGAAGTTTATCACAACAGAAAATAAATCAGATTGGTCCAATTCATTCTCATGGGTTACTCAAGGCTTAAAAAAGGCAATAGCTATAAATATGCCATCTGACTATTTGGAATTGATTTAGTATGTCACAATCTGTTACTCCATTTCTTAGAAGAAGCCCAACCAAAATTTTCAAAAGTATAGTTTCAGAGCCTATTGTCCTTTGCTTTAAGGAAAATTTCTGTAGTTTAATCTTATGATCCTAGAAATGATGTTTGCAGTTTGAGTTTTCTGAAGCCAATGAAACATGAAGATGGCAGATGGTGTGTGGGCTCAGCAGAGAGAAAGGTTGTGTGACCATGCTAGAAATAAAACATAAATGGCCTGATTAATTGTTTTTGGTTTTTCAGAGCCTATTGTCCTTTGCTTTAAGGAAAATTTCTGTAGTTTAATCTTATGATCCTAGAAATGATGTTTGCAGTTTGAGTTTTCTGAAGCCAATGAAACATGAAGATGGCAGATGGTGTGTGGGCTCAGCAGAGAGAAAGGTTGTGTGACCATGCTAGAAATAAAACATAAATGGCCTGATTAATTGTTTTTGGTTGCCAGGGAGGGGGAGGGGGAATTTTTATAGTTTTGGGTTTCTTTACAAACCCTGTAGGCACATCTGCATCTTCTTTCATAATGCAGTAAGAAAAAAAACAAAACAAACAAAACAAAACAAAACAAAAAAGGAGTTTCTTATATTGCTGATACAGTTTCTGAGACCAGATGATTGTCAAATTTTAAAAAATACCTGCTTACAAACATGGTACAGAGAAAAGATATTTGATCCAGTGGACAGACTGAAATCTAGGATCCCAAGGGCTAATGTCCTGATCCTGACAGCAATGTCTATGAACAATGTAATTCTCCCTAACTGCTGGAGAGCAGTGTAGGAGAAAGGGCCCTGGGGGCCCCGGTGGACAGGAGGATGACCATGAGCCAGCAATGTGCCCTTGTGGCCAAGAAGGCCAATGGCATCCTGGGGTGTATTAGAAAGGGTGTGGTTAGTAGGTCAAGAGAGGTTCTCCTCCCCCTCTATTCTGCCTTGGTGAGGCCACATCTGGAGTATTGTGTCCAGTTCTGGGCCCCTCAGTTCCAGAAGGACAGGGAACTGCTTGAAAGAGTCCAGCACAGAGCTACTAAGATGATTAAGGGAGTGGAACATCTCCCTTATGAGGAAAGGCTGGGGGAGCTGGGTCTCTTTAGCTTGGAGGAGACGGAGGGGTGACCTCATCAATGTTTACAAATACATTCAGGGCAGCGTCAGGAGGACAGAGCCAGGTTTTTTTCAGTGATGTCCAGTGGTAGGACAAGGGGCAATGGGTGCAAACTGGAACATAGGAGGTTCCTGGACACATTCCTTTGTGATGTGCTCTAGGTGATCCTGCTCTGGCAACGGGTTGGACTAGATGATCTTTTAAGGTCCCTTCCAACCCCTAAGAGTCTGTGAAACCCCTAAATACATTTCAACAGTAGGAAAAAAAAAAAAAAAAAAAGCAAAAAAAAAAAAAAGGCAGCTTAAAGGGTCTGATCAATAGGAAGATGCATCATTATATGATTTTTCTTCAAGAAAAGCTATAGCATGTGCTGTTTATTTATTGCAGGTCTTTTGCACTGTCACTGCTTTTACGAGGGACACTCCTGAGCAGCACTGGCTGCCTGAAGAGAGCAAAGGTTTCTATGCTGGGATTAAGGTAATGCTGATGGTCCTGATTTACTGACTGGTCTAGTGTATCCCCAGGGAATCTTATACATTATCTGACATGCTCAGAAAAAAACAAGACACAGAAACATAAGCCCTGATCATCATAACCAGAGCTGTTTTTATGTTCACTTTGAGAAAACGTCTTAACAAATTCTCTGGCTTTCAGTCTGTCTGCAAGAGGCCCTGAAGTCACCACCAGCACTTTGAGCAGGTGACACTAATGCACCATAAAGAATGGACAGAACTACACCTACTAAACACATGCCAAGCACTCTGGTGGTTATGTGTAATGGGAAGACATACCTACAAGGATGCAGAATTTTGTTGTGACTAAAGCAGAACAAAGTGAAGAGAAAAAAATCAATTTGACCCATTGTTTTCTGATGGTTGGGCACTAGAAAAACCAAATTGCTGAAGATGAGTTCACACCGAGTGCAAAAAAAAGGGTCTAATCTCAATCAAGGATTAGGCTGCCAGTCTGACAGTCCAGCAGAATTGGAGGTTTTCTGAGTATCTCCAATTCATGTCTCCATGAATGGTGTTTTACAAATCAGGCAGTTTATTCTATGTGACTTTTGAAGCACAGTTTCAGTCTTTGTGGAAATGCCAGAACTTCCTAGAGAGTCGAAATTCCCATTTCTGACTTGCCCCGAGTTCTGTCTCTGCTCTTGCCTCAAGAGAGCAGATACACAGAAATGACATAACCTGAGCTCTCTCCCCAGGGCACAAACCACCCAAGCTATAATGTGTAATGTATTATCCATGGAGAAATCCTGGGATGGCAGGAAAGAGGAATCAGGCAAAATTCTCTCACTTGGCACCTGGGACAGAGGATAACTGTAGAGCCCATGGCCATGAGCTACTGCCATGCTTTAGGTCCTCAATCTTTCTAGAATTTCTACCACTGTATTAGATCAGGAGCTCCTTTTAACCAGGAATATTAAAAGTGAATGAATTCTATGGTTTCATGTTATTATTTTCAGGCTTAAGGAAAAACTTGCTTTGAGATTAAGAGATGAGAAGCAATTAGACACTTTGACAACAGCAAACATTTTCTTAATTGCCAAGAATATTAAAGTATTTTAACAACAATTTTACCTTATAAAGTTGAAGTTCATTATTACAAAGATTATTACAAGGATTATTATTAAAACTGTTATTTTTTGCAAGCAAATATATCTTTTTACAAGTGATTAAAACCTCTCAAAATTTCATAAATGTCATTATTGCCTAATTAATCTGTCAAAATGATCTAAAAAGGATTTTCTTATTTCCAGTTTTTGCCAGAATCATTACAAATTGCAGAGGATGGCAAAGAGCATGTTTTGACTGTTCTCAGCACTGTACCCATTGTCTGTCCTGGGCATGATGATTCCTGTAAAATTACTTTACAGCTAAGTACTGAGGATTTGGGTAAGAGTTTTATGTATCACCATCAAATCAGTGTGATTATTTTTTCCTGTATTTCTGTTACAATAAATTCCAATAGAATTATACTACTTAAATAACAACAAAGGGCAGAAGCCATAAAAATCAACAAACGAGGACATATATTTGTTTACCATATAAAATAGATGATAATATCACTCAGGCTTTTGAGGAAAAAAAATTTAAAAACACAAGTGAGTGGTAACAACTTGAATGGTAATCTATTGAGAATTATAGATTAAATAACTATGAGTAGAAGAGCTTATTTTAAATTCCAGGAGTATAAAAATCCATTTCAAGTTTTTGTAGCAGCAAAGGTCTTAGGTAGAATAATTTCTTTAATTATCAATAAGAAGCTCACCTGCAGATTTATTATTCAGTAAATGTGGACTGAAGCCTTTTTCTTTCTTTTGCTGGCTTACAGCTTTTATCTAACTTAATACAGAAGAAAGAAATCATTATTATACTTATATATTATTCACTTCCTAAAGGTTGTTTTTTTTACTTGAAAACACTGACAATGTCACTTAGAAAATTCTCTTGCTCTTTTAATCAGTAAAAGCTTTTCCCAGGCTAATCTGGTGCAATATCATGCCTAACCAAGGGGTCATAGATGTATTTAATTTCCATTTGCATTAAATAAAACACTCAACTCTTTTTTAACAAGGTATTTATTTATCTTCCATATGTGATTCAAGGAAAAAAATATTTAGAGATAGAATTAGAGCTACAGTTTCTCTACCCACAAAAAGTCAACTTAAAAAAAAATATTGGCAAAACTCAGTTCCTGGTATTTTTCCCCTTCTGAATCCCTCCCCTTTCTCTCCCCAACATCAGCCAAGTGCTGAGACAGAAGAGGAAAAATATTTCAAATTGTATCATAATAAAATGATCTTAAACTGAACAGTACCTCATGGTTCCAGCAGCTGTGTTGGCTCTTGTAGGTGGAGCACTTTGCCAGGGTCTTCTCCAGTCCCACGACACGGGAGAAAGAGGGGAGACAAGATTTACAGAAGCAGATTTGTTTTCCAGTTGTCAATGACCTTAATGTGTTGGTGCCAAGAGGTTCCAGGACAAAGGCAAAACTTGACCACTTGGAAACAACAGGGACTTGTCATCATTGTGGAAAATTTCTACCAGTTTTAATCAACTCATTTCTGCAGGTCAGACTAATAACAAGCTCTAGCCCTTGATTGCTCCATCCTGAGGCTGTTTCCTTGGTTGACACTTGGGCTGCTAATGATCAATTGAGATATCTGTGTATACTTAAGGTCAAGTGTCTGCTGCTGGGTGTTTGCATAACTTCATGTTTGGTTTGTGCCTTTATTCTCTTTAGGGTCTGTTAGTTTATCTGAAGGAACACTGTGGGCTTCTGAAAGACATTGTGTTGGCCACAGTGCCATAACTTGAAAATAAAAACCATTTTAGCTGAGATTCGTTCATACCAAATAAATTAAATGACAAGCTCCCTGTCTGGCTGAATCCATATAACACTGTTGTGCTAATTATGTAGGGAATAAGTGATAAGAAAGCTAATTACAAGCCCAGAAATATCTCTCCAAGTTCAGACAACATCATAATGAATGCCAAGCCATAGCAGAGCCACTGGAGTTTGGCCTCTGTTAATTTTATCGTTACTACTTTGACAAGATGATTTTCTTTGATTTTGAACTTTTGTTCTGGGTTGTGAGCACAGCTCGTGGGGCTACAATGGCAATTGCTATTCCTTATGGAAACCTCCAGTTTAATTCAATCAAGGACCTTGAAAATGAGCCAGGACTTTTCTATAAGATATGAGGCAGCCTTTAAGGATTTGGTATGAGAGATAATATGTCATTAATATTTGTAGATTTTTTTAGTTCAGCTCCTGTAGAACTCTACAGGGTTAATTTAGATTATGTTTTATGAGTCTTGTCCATAAGGAATAAAACATTGCTTGCCTCATTGTATTAGAAATTCCAACTTAAAATACTGAATGCCATCTCCTATAAATTAGTAAGCAATTCAACAAATGGGAGAAATTATTTGAAAATCACTTATTTTCACATCAGATTAATTACATTGTCACCATTTCTAGAACTTTATTCTTATCAGCTGATAATTAATGTTCCAGGACAGAAAACTGAATACTCAGCACAAACACTAGCACTCCTGAAATTAGCAACAAGATTCTGATTGGTTTCAGGAGGACCATGATTTCATTTTTTGCCCACCAAAGGACTCAAGAAAGGTTGAGTGACTTCTTGACGAGCAGACACACACTATGGAAAATGCAGAGCAGATGGCTCAGAACCGAATGCTATCATAATTCAGTGTTTCTAAATAAAGCACACATCTGTGGAAGTGAAAATACAGGTTTGTCCTTTCCCTGAGACCTCAGCATGAAGGGTCAGGACCCAAGAGAAGTGGACATTACCAGTCTTGCTGCTAGAAGAGGTTCCTTTAGGAAAGATATCATGTGTAGAGGCAGAGCTGCATGAATGACTTGAGTTGCCATTATCATATTGATTTTGTCACCATCCATTACATCCCACCCATCACAGATACTTAAATAGTCAGTACCACAACAGCTTGTTACACATTCTTTTAGTGAATTTATCCACACAGTGACTTTGTGAAAGATAGAAACGAAACTACCATCATTTTACAGACTGGAAAGTAAAGCACCAGAATCTAGCTAAGCCAAAAATACGTATGTGCTGCATTTGCCTTCCTGTTGTGGATCCAGAGTTCACTAAAAACTGACTTGCCTGATCGAGATCAGAAATTCTGTTTTGTTTTAAATTAAGTAACTCCCAGCAGATACAATAACAATAATAACAACAATAATAATAATGATGCAAGTGAAAGATAAAAAAATAGCAGAAACAGATACTCATCTCTTTTTGTGTCATGAGAACTACTCGTCTTCATTCCCTGGGCATGCACCCATAAAGATAAGACTGTCATTCTAGAAATATAAGCACCTGTGGAAAGAAAAGCACCACTGAGTTTTAGTGAACTGTCTACTGCAGGGAGAAAAAAAGAGCAGAGTAGGTTGTGCAGAGAGATGTCAGGTTGAGTCAGTCACAACTGCCTTCATGCAAACCCCATCTGGTTTCAAGGCGTGTTTGTCCTGGAACGTGAAAGGATTGTGTTGGATAGGAAAGAGGGTACAGGCAACTGGATAACTCTTACCAGACTCTGTGTTCATTCCAGATAGCCACTTACCAGGGCCCCCAGACATTGCCCTCTCAACGTGCCATGTGGAGCTGCTGAGGGGGCCCTGCTCGGAGAGCAGCTGCGCGGCAGCCGTGCTGACGGTGACGGCGGTGACAGACTTTGCTCAGGACGGGACCCGCGTCAGCAGCATCACAGCTGAGCCAGTTGGACAGAGGGATTTGCTTTGGAGGGATTACACACCCAAGGATGTGAAGGTCAGGTCCTAAAATAATTCAGAAAATGTGTCCAGTTTGAATGGGAAGTTTAGGATTGCAAAAACCAGCGATAAACCTTAACCATAAAAAAACCTGGGGACCACTGTCAGCAGAATAAACCAACACAGCTTCTTCATACACCAAGTAAAAATGAACATGTGAAGCCTTGTGCTTGAACAGATTTAGGTTTGATTTTTGGCACATTGGTAAAACCAACAGCTGCATTGTGGGTGTAACCCAGGGTGCTTGTATGCTTTGGTAGCAAAGAGAGGGAGAGCCCAGGTTAGGGAATCAGCACCTTTTTAATAAAGAGGGAGAGGGAAAACTGAGGGTTTGGAGAAGGAAAAGCAGTGCCTCGGGAATGAGAAAGAAGGATGGGACTCAGCAGTGCCATGTTCTATTGTGACTATGCCAGGAGCCACTGGGACACCTCTGACAATACACAGGGCTGCTCCATCTCAGCATTTATCCCTGTACTGAGTGTCCAAAATAAAAATAATAAGAATCAATCAGGGAATCAAGCCATGCTTATGGGAATAGGGACAGATCCCTTGTCTGCAAAGCTCTGTCAGGGCTTCAGCTGGAAGGTGTGAGAGCCCTAATCCCACCACCTGAGAAAAGAAACCAGAGCACAGTTTGGCCTCAAATAAATTTCTTGTAGATGTGGCACATCCAAGCTGGTATATTTTAAATAACTGAGAACATATATATAACAATAATTTCACTGCTCTGATTTTTGATGATTTGCTCATGGGAGAATGAGATTAATCTGAACCAGAAGAATTTTTGTCTTCAAAGGTAAAACATCTAGCACAGGACTATATCCTTCCTTTCCAGTATAGGCTTATTTTCAATTTTTTAAGATTCTTAAACCAGAAATTGCAGCTAATTCAGTGTGGTGCACTTACATACCCATTTTTTTTCCCCTTGAAGTTACAAATGCTTCCATTAAAATATGAAAATGTAGCAAGCGTGAAATGGAATTAATCAATTTTAATAATAAATTCCATCTATCTCAGTTAAAATGTGATCTGTGGAAACATAATAGATATTACCTTCCCTCCCCCCCATTTCTCTGTTGCTGCTTTGCAGTTAATTAGAGGTGTTAATGTAACACAGTTCCTGCAAGATATCCAGGAAAAATCCATATATTACAATCCACATAGTCTTTAGCACTTTAGACTCATTCAAATATTTTTGATTTATCTGAAAATTGAATGGAAATGGTGGGCAGAACATTCCGACACACTTAGACACATAAGGTGGATTTCTTCATCAACCTAAAACTGCCTACAATGAGGACTTGAATCCTCTGCTGGTATCATGCAAGAAAAGAGCAGAGCAGAAAGGGCCACATGGATTTGTTTGTGCACGGGTTTTACAAAGGAAGGTTGCAGCCATGGATAAAATGGGAAAAGTCTTAGACACTTCTTTGTGTAGATACAAATGGCACAACTGACCTCAGATCGAAATGCTGTTCAAAGAGGTGTTCAGTTTTTCAGTCCTCAAGACAATCACTCTAACATTTTGGGATGCCAGACACTGGTGGGTGTCTAAGTAATGTCTCTGCGATGGTTAAGGGGTGTTTTAAAATACAGATGATGTATGGCCTTGGGTGAGGGATTTTGTCAGGAAGTGTGGTTCTATCTTCACCCCCTTACTCATGTATTTAATTTCACCACTGTTCCTAAAAGCTAAATTCTGCTTTGTCACTGAAAGACTGCACAAGGATAGAGTGGCCATCCTTCTTCCCCGCTCCCGGATTGTGGCAGAACTAACTGAATTGCCCCTCTGGACTTCTCATGGGCAAAGAGCAAGCAAAGAATTTACAGCCCTGGCCAAGATATTATCCTGGTAGACTGGATATGGGAGAAACCACAATATTTCATTTCACTCCTACCAGTATGACTGGGACCTCTTCATATTGCAAATCACTACAGAGTCCAGTCTTGCGTTTCTGAGCACTGGAGAGCAGAGAATGGAAAAACACCACCTCAAGCAGATCAGGCAGTGCAGGCCCAGCACTGCCCAAGGTTCACGTCTTGCAGCTCGGAAGGGAGTTGCCCTGCCTCTGGCTTTCACAAGCATATCTGCTCCTTCCAGGGCACCAGAACTCTCAAATCTCATCTGTGACCCAGCTTGTGCCCAAGTAACCCAGAGCTGACGCAGCTGAAGATCTTGATTGCTATAGTAGATCCTTTTCTCTTTTATTCACATGCACAGAGCTCCAGCAACCTGGTTTGGGCCCTCGTTACCAGTACCTAATCAATAACCTGCACATCAAATGTACAAATCAGTCATTCTTATGCTGTATCAGGAAACCTAAGGTCAAATTGGGAGACAGGATGTGACTACTGCTAAAACATGCTAATACTACATAATTACAGCATACCTCACACCACACTTCAGGAATTAAAATTAGTACCAGTTAATGAGCACTCTACTCTCTTGATAATTTCAGTGAACAGTCTAGTTCTTAGAAAAAAAAGTTTAATAAAAAATCTTCACTTATTACCAGATGAAGAAAGACAGTGCATTACATCAGGTGGAACAGGAGCACTTTGAATGCCCATATTGCATGTGATTAAACTCCTTTGTTTGAAAGCAAAGCCTATTTAGTACCCATTCGCAGTCATATTTTAGAAGTCAGAATTTAGTTTGTACTTGACATGTGAATCCTGCCCCTAATGTTTTGTGAGGAACAGTAATGAAGAAAAACTGCTGTGTAGACTGTATTCATTACACATTTCATTTTAACTAGGTCACAGTTCAAGACCTCCCAACAGGGAACTGCTACTCTTTCACTGATCCACACATTATCACATTTGATGGATGGTGAGTATTCTACTTTGAAATAATTTGGCTCAATTACTGCAGTTTTCAGTTTCTGGATGTAGCATGCATTTGGTTTTACATTAGAATATCAAAAGAGCATTTTACTCATTTGCTTTTGGTGATTAATGTAGTGCTTCAATAACAGACAGAGTTTCCTTCCAGCTGTTTATGGTCCTTTTAACAAAAAGGACTAGAAATGGTTTAAAGTCGAAGCAGCAATGGTTTGGATTCTGAAACATTTTTACAAGATAAACGTCAGATTTCAAAACATTCTTCAATCAGACCCCTCATTATTGACTTTGAGAGGGTATCTACACCATGTGGCACTAGGTTAGCAGCACCCCAGCTCCACACACGTGAGCCAAGACCTCCCGGTGGCAGCACAGCATGGGGGACAGCTTGTGTCCTTCCCAGCAGTTTAGTGGCACCTGATGCAAAGTTACTCCGCACAAGGAGGCTCCTGCATTCTTCTATCTACTACCAGAGCTGGCTTACACACAGCTGGGGCTCTGCACGGAGTTGACAGTCACAAACACAACCAAAAAACCCCAGAAACATGGTTGTACTGTCTAGATAAAAGAAGTCCAGAAAATGTAAGTGG